AAATCGATGAAGCAGGGGGTGGTGTGGCGAGACAGGGAAAGCCAAACCACAGGAAAAGCTGATCTTATTATTTGACTTATTGTCCTCCAAACGAGTACGTAGATACATTTAGCTCACAATTATGACTTTTTAAAGTTCGGTGACAAATTTGTCGCTCAATAAATACACTCAACCGTGAAAACCAGTGGGGGTTTTTCAAAATCAAGAGGTTTGCAAGCGAGCGTTCCCTCTCTCGCCCCACCATCCCTTGCTTCGTCGAGTCTTTGCTCTCGCTCCAATTTACGCGCGGCCAGAATGCGGAAAAGATCCCACAGTTCTATATTTTTAACAGCTTTCCACGCATTTTCTCCACAGTTATGTTATCATAAGAAACATGAACGAAAACGAGATTCAATCGCAGCCATACCTCTGATTTATAGTTATAGTTATTTACTATAGTACCCTAGACAAAACTGTTCTGGATCGACGTTTTACAACAAAAAAGTATAACAAGCAAAGCGATGCAAATAATTTTATGATTGTCTTAAACCTTTTCACACGTGGAAAATTACTTCATATAGATCACGCAAGGAAGGCTTGCGTTACAGCGTGTCTAAATTTGCGGACTGAATCACAAAAGTACGGAATTGCGCGATTTCTAAGATAAAATTGTTATGGTTTACATCGACATCGTAGTGTTAGACCAGTGTTGTTGTGTGAAGAACATTGTTACGTGTTTGTGGATGTTTTCATGAATCGACGAGATGGCGCGAGGAAGGAGCAATAATCCATTTAAACAGCACTATAATCCTGTGATGCATCAGCGGTTCTGAGAATCAAAGATTCAGGTTGTGGTGCTATTACTGAAGGGCCACAAATAAAACCAAACAAAGTTATTTCNGAGCAAAAAATCGACGAAGCAGGGGGCGGTGGGGCGAGAAAGAGAAAGCTAAACCACAGGAAAAGCTGATCTTATTAATTTGAATTATTGTCCTCCAAACGAGTATGTAGAAACATTTAGCACAATTATGATTTTTTAATAACTCAGTGACAAATTTGTCGCTCAATAAATGAACTCAACCGTGAAAACCAGTCGGCGGTTTTTAAAATCAAGGGGTTTGCAAGCGAGCGTTCCCTCTCTCGCCCCACCATCCCTTGCTTCGTCGAGTCTTTGCTCTCGCTCCAATTTACGCGCGGCCAGAATGCGGAAAAGATCCCATAGTTCTATATTTTCAACAGCTTCCCACGCATTTTCTCCACAGTTATGTTATCATAAGAAAAATGAACGAAAACGAGATTCAATCACAGCCATTCCTCTGATTTATAGTTATAGTTATTTCAGTACTATAGTACGCTAGACAAAACTGTTCTGGATCGACGTTTTAAAACAAAAAAGTAAAACAAGCAAAGCGATGCAAATAATTTTTTGATTGTCTTAAACCTTACTAAATTCCACACGTGGAAAATTATTTCATATAGATCACGCAAGGAAGGCTTGCGTTACAGCGTGTCTAAATTTGCGGACTGGATCACAAAAGTACGGAATTGCGCGATTTCTAAGATAAAATTGTTATGGTTTACATCAACATCGTAGTGTTAGACCAGTGTTGTGTGAAGAACATTGATACGTGTTTGTGGATGTTTTCATGAATCGACGAGATGGCGCTAAGAAGGAGCGATAATCCATTTAAACAGCACTATAATCCTGTGATACATCAGCGGGTTTGAGAATCAAAGATTCAGGTTGTGGTGCTATTACTGAAGGGCCACAAAGAAAACCAAACAAAGTTATTTTAAGCTGTCATGTAAGAAAATCCGAGAAAATGGCAAGTTACTGGTAGATGGGCCCAGAAACAGGTCCGTAAACTTTCCTAAAAGCACAAATAGCAGTGCCTGATGTTCTTGGCTGACAACGCCTTAACACAGCAGTATTCTGTCCAATTGTGGCTTGTACGAAGCGTGATAAAGGCAGCCATATTCAGAACAGGCGCAAGACCGATCTAGCGGCAAGAACAGTTTTAAGACCTCACAAAATCGTGACAAAAAAATCCACCTGGCGGCACGTAAAGAGTTTCTTCGCAAAACGACACTCCAAATGTGACTCATTTTTCTCAGAAATCACTTGATTTTGAATACTTTTGTGACTCAGTTACCAAATTTGGACAAGGTGTAACGCAAGCCTTTCTTGCGTGATCCAGTAAAATAAGTTTCCATATGTTGAATTTAGTAAAGTTTAAGACAATCGCAAAATTATTTACGTCATTATGTTTCTTTTAATTTTTGCTGTAAAACATCGATCCAGAACAGTTTTGTCCAGCGTACTGTAAACTGACAGAGGTGTTTTATACGGATTTCCAACCCTGGATCAGGCATGGAAAAGCCGTAATTTTCCACGAGTAAAATTACAGCAAGAGACTTGATTACGATAATTTCACTGTGATGATATCGATGGGGTAATGCCTGATGTCATGTTCGACCCTTTAACTTTGCTTAAAATTTGTTGGTGTATAGTCGGAACATTTTTGGACGTCTTCGGAATCTTCGTTTATCTTCGAAAATCCTTAGCAATCTTCGGAAATTTACGGACAATGTTCAGAAACGTTCGTGTGTCTTCGGACAAGTTTTGGAGAATCTTCGGAAATCTCCGGAAAGTGGTCGGAAATCTTCGGAAAATCTAGAAAGGGTAGAGTAAATTATTGGACTAGTGATTTGGAGGTAAAATCACGTAAATTCCCAGGGGTAAACCCATTTAAGGAGGATAACAGAGAATCTGAGTCATATTACGTTTCGGGTAAGTCAATGCATAAGAACACAAGTGTTTACCTACGTTCTGGATTGCAATAAAATCATCACTTATGAGTTTATCCTCTTCTTGTTTTGTCCCTATTTGTATCCACCTGAAAAAGAGAAAAACTGGTCAGAAAGATTTACATCAAATGATTAATGGCTAGCATGGTGTGCTAACAGGTTCCAAACCCAAGGAGCCTGGGCAATGTTCCTGCCTAAGACACTTTTCTCTCACAAGGCCTGTCTCAACCTTTACTATAAGAATTTGGAGTGGCTGCTCGGGTACAATAGCTGTCAGAAGGAAATGAGAAAGGCCCAGAACAATGTCCTCAAGGAGGATGATTTTTAAAAACTGGTGACTTCATGGCGGTTATTCACAACTCAATTGGAATATCAGAGTCAAGAGGCTAGTCAAAGTGACTCAGTGGAAAGAGGGGGGTATTATTTGAGCAATGGAGCACTTTTTCCGTGTTTACATAGCCTCATCTAAACACCAGGAGGGTTGGGAGCATTTGAGACAGTTAAGTAAACCCGAGACGAAGTCGAGGGTTTGCATAACTTTCGAGAATTTTCCCAACCCTCCAAGTGTGTAGATGACGCTGTGTAAACACGGAAAAAGTGCTCTAATGCTTTCATAAAACAAAAGTCTCAAAAAAACGCGCTAAAGTAAAACGTCACAACCGTTTTTTACGTACTCTCATCTAAACAGACCTATCGAACAACGAGAGCGCGGGTTGTGGCTCAGTTACTCTATAAACCCAACTTCTAAGTTAGTATAAAAAAAATTAAATGTTACATGTAACATGATTTGAGGTGGTCTACTACAGTTTTGAAGTTTATACATTACAAGTTATCATATGAAAATTATTAAAGAAACAGAACGATATTTCTGGCAAACGCAAAAATGTTTGCTGCGTGTCTTTCGCAGCTCATACACTAAAATCAGAATATTTGAATTATTTGCTTGGATCTGGCGATTTTTATTTTGTTACCATTTTTTTGATGGATTGATTTAGGATTACAGAAAAATAAAATGGAGTCACAGGCAAATTATTTCCTATTTGCTGTAAACGTCATTCTTAAACTCTCTCTTATAGAGTCAGCCATCCCTCAGTGTGTGACTTGAAAGTCAACATTTTGTTTGCTGTAAATCAGTTACCTTTCTTCTGTTTGCTCATGTCACCTGTGTACACAATTTCAATTCAAATGACATGGGATAGTTTCGGTAAAAAGAAAAAAAATGTGCCCCATTACAATCCATCATTCCTTAGCAAGTGCTAACATGGTTATGAAAATGTTTATTTTATATTAGATACTGAGACTTTCTCGCAAAAAAGATATGTGAAATCAGTAGCCAATATAGAAAGTGAGAATGACAAACATTCACAAGTGAAAAAAAACATCATTTACCCAATCACAAACGCGAATGACAAAAACTCGCAAGTAAACAAAACCATATGGTGATTTCCCCCATGGCAGAGACAAGATAAAGATTTGCGGCTTTCTATGACTCACATGACTCATTTATTGCAGAGCAAGAAAACCAAAACACACTAAAGAAAACAAAATAAGACATTGCGTGGTTGACAGCATTTTCTCAAGAAATAAAGAAGAGACAGGAACCNTTTCTAAGTTTTTCACCTGATCATCTATTTCCTCAAAAAGATCAGATCATTCTGTTGGTGAGAAAAAACTGAATAGAAATAATATTGGAAAAGTACCCTACATGACATGTAGCTGCACAAGAAGTAGCCGGTGACTACAATATACAATTGTAATGTACAGATGTATCCATGGATATATTTTTCTGACTAAAAAAATATTAAACATTTTCATACCTGGGCAAGTGTTCTCACTGAATTCTTCATTGTAAGCTTAACAGCAATCATCATTATGGTGATGGGAACTGAAATGAAATACATCCATCTATAGGTAAATCAAGAAGAATATTATTTAATAAATAATTTTAGAAACAAGTGAATGTTATAAGTGGCTCTTTCTAGCAGAGCAAACAACTTGCCTTGCAAAATATAATTATTTCTTATATGTCGGTAGACTCTATAAATAGTTCAGACGTATGTTGAAGTAGTTAATTTACAGGTTACAGGCGAAGCTTGGAGACTGAACTAATCCATATTCATTTAGCTTCATACAAGTGAGAAAATAAGTATCTGAATTTTGATTCTAGCACAGTACAATCAATTATCTTGTTTTGTCTGTGAATTTTTCACCAGGCTTCTAACCAGAATTTGAAAATGTGCCACTGGGCCTGCTCAACATATGAAAAATAAATCAATTTTCTTTAGTAAGTGGCCATCCCCAGATCGCCTGGACACCCATCACGCTAAAAGCCTGTCACATACAAAACAACATAAATGTCTCTTTTTGCTGCAGTCTTTTTTGACTCTCGAGATTTCAGACTTTTAACTTCTTATTTCTATAATTTATGATTGTATAGTAGTTGCTAAAGCATAGAGATAAAGACAAAATTAATTTGCATTTAAAGTATCAAGAAGCTTTCATTCCCTGAAATATGTTGTTCATCTAAGGCAAGGCTGTCATTAAGGGCTGTAACCTGCAACACCTGTTACAGCTGAGTGTGATGCTTTGTGTGAACTTGATAGAATTCATCCACAAAGTTGTAAGTTTGCTACCGTTGTGGAGAACAAGGCTACAGGTGACTCAAAACTTAATGACAGCCCTGTAAGGAACGTAAAATTTGGTCTTGCACAAGCAAACTAACTTTGGTATTGGCGCAGTAAGACTCTGT